GGAAGGAAGGAAGGAAGGAAGGAAGGAAGGAAGGAAGGAAGGAAGGAAGGAAGGAAGGAAGGAAATAAAGAGTTGCTGTCACATTAATGTTTATTTGCCTTAGAAGGAATACCACTGCTTGTCTTGAAGAGCTCTTACAAAGGTGCTTCCCCAATAGCTAAAACCCAAGAAATCCAAATATATTCCCAGGGTGGCTAGAAATAGATCAGTGTAAATATTTGCATTCTTGCAATTCACAAAAGAGTGTCAAAAGTAGTATTCTGTCTCCTGGTCAAAACAATAAATAACCTCTCTTTTAAGCAGCAGCCAAGGTTGCTTTGCATGTCTGTGAGTGTGCGTGTGTAAACAAAAGTTCAACGAATGATTCAGTTTTTCCTATCCTACTTTGGAATAAATACAGAAGTGAAGATTCCTACTGTATTCTTGTAAAAAAAAAAAAGGAAGCCAAGATAGGGGCTTCCACAGTTTGATTTGTGTCATGGTTGCCATCTTCATTTTTGCTAACCACCTTCACAGATTAACAGAGTTGGAAGGGACCTTGGAGGTCATCTAGTCCAAACCCCCCACCCACCCACCCAAGCAGGAGGCCCTACACCATTTCTGAAAATTGGCAGTCCAATCTCTTCTTGAAAGCCTTGAGTGATGAAGTTCCCACAACTCCTGAACACTGGAAACTGAGTTGCAAAAAATGCCGTACCTGACATATTCCACTGATGCACATATCCAAGGATTTGGCATTACAGCGGGTGCCGTCCAGAACTTTGGGAGCAAGCTCAACGATCAAAGGTCTCCCCAAAGCTTGGCACTTCAAGGCACATGGAGAGATGGAGTCATCAAAGACAGGGATCCATTCATAAAAGTGTCCTTGGTACTTGACATCGTTGTAGGCTGAGCATTGCTGGGCACGGAAGTCACCAGATTCTGCAGGGCAGTCCTGGAAAAACAAAAAGTAAGGAGGTTTTACTACTACTACTATTAATATTATTATTATTATTATTATTATTATTATTATTATTATTATTATTATTATTATTATTATTATTATTATTTTCTAGTAAAAAATTACTATTTCCTCCACCCCACTCCCATGAAATCCTACTTTCATTTTTAAGGCTACAGCCAATTTCTTGACGACATGTCTCATGTATCTTAATTTGACTTACTTCTAAGTCAACATTAGCACATAAATTAGCACGTAAATTAGCACATGTGAGACTAACTGCCTGGCCATTTTTCAAAGCCATAGAAGGAGGCTACAAAAGATTTCTAATTTTACCAGCAACATTTCCCCCCACCTGAACAGACATTTGGATCAGTGTATCCCAGAACTAAGTTCCTGCAAAGCTAAAGGGAGAATAGAGCTCTTTCATACAGCTACCAACTTCAACAATAATTTGCTCCACAATTGTCTTCCTTCCTCACGCAACTAGCCAGCTCTCCTTCAGCTGGACAATGGCCAAAAGCCAAAAACAGCTGACCAGAAGCCAACCTCTTCCTTGCCTTGTGAGTTTTTCACAAGCACAGAGGCCACACTGCAGAAGTACAGAAAGCATCTCTCAGAACAGCCAGAAAGCAGTGAGGGAATAAATGGTGGCAAATCATATTGATACTGTTGCTTCATGATAGGAGATCAAATGTTAGGTCAGAGGTCTCCAAACTTGGCAACTTTAAGACCTGTGGACTTCAACTCCCAGAATTCCTCCTCCAGTCATGTTAGCTCAGGAATTCTGGGAATTGAAGTCCACAAGTCTTAAACTTGCCAAGTTGGAAGACTTTTGTGTCGGGCATGTTGTTCCTGCCCACCAGTGGAAGTATTACCCATCCTCAGAGCAATAGGGACACTGAAAAATAGTACTACAGAGTCTTCTCAAGGGAAGAGCTGGTTAACACTGAGTTGTAGATTCAGCATGTCAATGTCAACCCAATGGAGACTGCACAAGACATTCTGGTGAGAGAGAAGTTCCCTGTGGATGAGCTCCAGCATGAGCCTGAAAGCTTGGAAAAGTAAATCTGTTGTGGCCTGTCGGCCATCGGCCCCTCCAGCAGCAGGGTGGGAGTAAGAGATTCTAGTGTGGCCGCACTGAACTTTTTTCTCCCTCCTCCTGTCAAGCCCCAGGGAAATCAGTTCAAATGAATATAAAGCTGTAATGTAAGCTTAAGCTCTCTACAAGAATCTGAACTACTAACAGTCAAAGCAAATTGGCAGTAAATAAGAGTAAAAGGAATTCATGGTGAGTTGGATTTAGATCTTTTGTGGGAGCAAAGGGATTCGAGACTGATGACATGTTTGACCTCTCCTTCAGGCTCAGCCTGGTCATCTCCTACATCTCTATTCAGTTGAGGATTGTGCAGTCTCTTATTTAGGACCCCACTCTGGAATGTGCTACCTTCTTCCTGGAAAGCCCTGATGCTCTTGTCCACTTTCCCACACATACATACTCCTTCCCCAGCTGTATGTTCATCACGGGCAAGTTTCTACAAGCTCAATGGCATTGTGACAGCATGAAAGGATAGCAATAGCACTTAGCACTTATATACCACTTCCTAGTGCTTTTACAGCTCTCTCTAAGCGGTACACACAGTCAGCCTGTTGCTCCCAATAATTTTTGGTCCTCATTTTACCCACCTCAGAAGGATGGAAGGCTGAGTCAACCTTGAGTCTGGTGAGATTTGAGCTGCCAGATTGCAGGCAGCCAGCAAGCAGCAGAAGTAGCCTGCAGTACTGTACTCTAACTACTGCGCCACCATGGCTCATGGTACCAATCTCAGATCCATACTAATAACAGGGAATATAAACCAATGAGGATGTATATGGTGCGTCTACGTATGGCCATATTTTCTCTAGATAGACAGGGATACATATGTACATGGATATATACACAGAAACAATTAATTGCTCATATCTATAGGCTGCCAAGATCCTAAAATTACACATAGAAGCCAAATCATGTTGGCGATAACACAGCTGGCTTCTTCACACAGAAAAACATGCAATTTATGTGGAAATGGTCTAAAGAAGTCCCCCCCCCCGCCTTCAAATGAATAGGACCCATAAGGATTATCTTAAACACTTCCATGTGCAAATCACAGCAGCAGAATGTAAAAGAAATGGAAACACAAAACATGGGCGTTTAAGGAGGACTGAAAAATGTCACAATTTACAAGGAACAGCTTGTGTAGATTGTTGTCCTGGGAGACAGATAAAAATATCTTCAGGCAGATAGTAGTTTCTATTTTCAAACTAAGCAGGTGAACAGCACAGGGTAGGTCAATTTTTATTGTGGTCTCAGACCAAAACAAGAAATATATTCATAAGTGATCTGACAGCACCTATAAAACAGTCTAGCTTACAAAACTGGTAAAGCAAAATTAAAATACACTTAAAAATAGATTGATAGGGGCAAGTGAGTGAAATAAAAAGAGGAGCAATCCAAGTCTAGGCTATAAATGAAATAATATGTAAACTTACATAAAATACCCCTAGGGTAGCAGGAATTTGAGCTGTCAAATTTTGACCGATCTTAACATGCCACTAAGCAAAATCCAGTCACGTACACTGTAATAAATGATAGTTTGTCTCAATGTAGCAAAGCCCAGTTAAAGAAAATATGGAGGAGAAACTAATTTTGCAGTGACACCGAACCCAGCATTATAGCTGACGCCAAGGGAAGCATTCAGGCTGAAACAATTGTGCAATTTTGATTTAAATCATACTTACAAATAAATAATATAGAATTGACTGTGCAATGCCATAACTTGGTTTGAGGGAGGCATATGCATTTTTTAATGTACATTCATCAATGCCAAATGAAATTGAGCAAGATTAAGAAAGAGGAAGCCATTGCAAATTATAGTGAATATTTAAGATATTTCCCACCATGTATTGGCCTTAAGTCACCCGTGGGTGTATTCCTCAAATTAATGGCAGAAATTTGCTCTGTTATGTGGCTCGTGCATCATCAAGCTCCTCCAAGGAAGGGTGGAGAAAATTGGAGCAATTCAAACTATTAAGGGGAAAAAACTAACAAGCCTCATGTTGCCTTGCTGAAGTTGATTGTCACTTCCTGAATGCAAAAGCCTATCTCATTGTACACATGTTGTACTCTGACAATAAAGGTAATAATAATAAAGATAGTACAGGTAGTCTGTCAGCCTTGGAAGCCGTATTTTACACAGAAGCTTTGAGGCTGCTACATTTTAGTACCTGGAAATTTGGGTGGGGGGATTTGATACAGAGGTGGAAGATTAGACTCAACAACATTCTTCTCAGAAAGTCAAAGACAAGTCACCCTGCACTTGGAGAGGAGTGTCTGGAGGAATCTCTCCAGTTGGGACGATGGTTGATTGGGCCATGGGATGGACTGGTGAGAGCAGGGGATGATGGGTTTTTGAAATTCAGCTGGGAAGGGAAAACCTGGAACTCTCAGATTCGGGTTTTCCCAGATGTGCCAATATGACTTCTTTAATAAATTCTTACTTGGATGAACTTTGCATCTGAGTGCTGAATGAAATTGGGAGTTTCATTGGAACACTGACATAGTCCTCATTTAGCAACCACAATTCGGGACTGGCAACTTGGTTGTTAAGTGAACGAGTTGTTAAGTGAAGCCATGACTGTACTTAGATTCTTACTTCAGCTTTTTTTTTAGTTTATAGACCTGTAGTGGTGTTCAATGCAAAGGCTCGTTGCAAAGTTACTTTTTCATCACTGCCATAACTTCAAAAGTTCCCTATATAAAATGGTCGTTAAATGAAGAATGGCCTGTATACAGCTGCGTCATGGGAAAATCAGCTGGTTGAAGCTTTCCTAAGACAGGAGAATTAGCTACAAGGCAAATAATAACAAATAAAATTTCTACAACTTGGTTATGAGAGCCACATTTTCTTGTTCTTTTAACTTTACCTTTGGAAACTTTCCAATGACTCCCTGGCACTATTCTATCACCTTGATTGCTGTATCTGGTCTTCTGGCTACTCTCCTGCACGGCTTGGATCATCTCTCATAGTTTGCAGACTTGACCTGCTGCAGGGATGGCGCAATAATTCCCCCCCACACACACACTTCAAGCTCCAATCGAGCACACATTCCTGATTCTGACTTTAGATTCCTTCTTTGGCACGGGCCCTGATCCCGACCTTCTCCGATTCTGTGCACATTTTGGCTTTTAGACCTTCCCATGGAAACGTGCAGCAACAAAGGATATTAATAGCTGACAGCAAAACGTTTCCACGAGTAAGAAAATCTGGGGAAAGATGCGAGAGACGATCCACAGAGCCTCTAGGAAACAATTTTGTGTTGGATGACAAGATATTGCAGCCAGTTAATTTTACGAATTGCATTTACAAAAAAAAGCACGAAGATTGTTTCCAGATCTTTTGACAAAAACAAGAGTTTTGCTCCAGAAGGAGAAACTGTATGCAAACACACACTATAGATCTTACACAATGGGAAAAAGTAACCCAAACCAATTGCATTGATAAAATGCAAAGAAGAAAACACTAGAAGACGGTACATTTGTTTGCCCGGGCTGGTATCAGGATTCCTGCTTTAGGCATATGGGGTTGGACTAGAATATCTCCAAGCTCTCTTCCAACCTATGTATCTATGTACAGTCATCAAATTCAAGTCTATGTAAGTTTCTAAGTTTGAATCAATCTATTTAAATCAAATCTCCCTCAAATTTAAAATTGATACTTCGCTACTAACTAAACGTTTGAAGAGCTGTACTTTCCCCATACCTTTACATTTCACTTCTGAACATTTAATCTCACCGTTAGGGAGGAAAATAAATATTCTGGGTTCTGATCCTCCCCGTTTCTCTCCTTCCTTTAGTTTAACAAAAGGAGGCAAGTTGCCAGAACTTTAAAGCTGTTTGATCTGGGAAAGCAAGAACAGTCAAAACAGAATTAGAGATCAGACTTACAGTATTGCTGCAGGTTTTATATCGGATATTTCTGCCTTGACAGTTTCTGAAAGACAAGAAAAATAAGACTTGAGTGAAGTTATTATGAAGAAATCTCATTGAAAGACAAGGCTGTAAAATTATTATATTTGATGCACCACCACCACCACATCCACACACACAGAGTGTACACGTTTAATTGTGTTTAGAGGATGATGGGTTAACATACCAGCCTCATGAAGGAAGTTAAATTTTTTCCTAAAGATTTTAAAGTGGTGGAACATCTCAACCTTTTAAGTGAATTCTGGAACACCATGCACAAGATTGTATAGGGCTCACTAGCAGAAGCTTGCTAGATAATACAGA